ATATGCCATCTTCTAGTCAAATTATTTTGCAATCATCAGTCAGCCTCATATATAAAATTAATAACAACATTAAAAAAAAAAAAAAAACTAACATCGGAATTAATTTATTAGGCACTCTTGGTATTCGGAAGAGTGCCAATTTATTACATTGCATTGGATTTGTGAAGTATGAGAAAGGCTTTGAGAGCATTGATAGTGCATTCCTTTAGAAATTGATACGTTACTATGGGATCATACTAAACATCCTAATAAAGACTACGTTTAATGGTATGAAAAGCACAGTTGTTGTGGGGGTGAAGTGAAGACAATTGCACTCAAATGTGTTTTAAATCAAAATGTGTAACTGTGCTTAACTCCTTTTTATTACTTTTATTACTTTTAGACTACATGTGAATAGCCTAGAATATGAAAAGTCCACTTTTGGTCTTATTCAATGTCTTGAGTGCTGAGTGGTTTACAGAACTGGCTTATTTATTTGTGTGCAAATTGTTGGTTTTTCGCCTCTCGGGTAGATACACCCAGACTTCGAAGGAAACGTCGATTCTGTCTACTTGGTCAGGCTCCCGTTCTTGGAAATCCGTTTCTAGGACCACTGCAGAGAGGTGTACATATAGGTCTTCACCTGTAGGCCTATGAGCCTGTTCCTGGTGCATCAACTTGTGTGATGCATACCGGATTATGAATATAACATTGGTATCACCAGAAGTAAAACACTGACAGGGCAGCACGTTAACATGAACTTCGATAACAACATTGTCCTCCTGCGCCCGCACGAAATACCATGTAGGATAAGAAGAATACGACAGTTATAAATAGGTCTACACACAGGGGAAAGAAATGACAACAGCATACCCCCATACTGCCTGTGTCGCTTGCTGTGAAATCTATCTCCCCCTTCTTTTAAATCACATTTTTTATATGTGGGATTGGGGGGGGGGGGGGGGAGGGGTATCTTGCAATAAAGTAAAAAAGGGGGTGTGGCAGTCTTGGCATTTACTTGTTCGTTTGTTTGTTTTTATATCCAGAAACCATGAGTTGTTAACCCTTTGGCATGGTACTATGGCAACCTTTCGGTCTTGATTCAATGATAGGTACCGTAAATCTGGGAGAAAATGTGGTTTTTCTGCCTACCCCTGGTAGTGAACCCGGACCACAAGGAGTTCGTCACCCGGTCACCGCGCAGTCCGGTTTAGCCAACTACACTAGAGAGCCGGGCTGCCATTTACTTAAGGGAGACGCGGGGGTTTTGTCATATAATCAAGGGCGAGGCCCGAAAAGGTCGAGAGACTACTGCTCTAGCCCTTAAACCAGTGGTCTCCAGGAGGTTGTAAATATGACTACCAACGTCACACGGCGTGGAGTTTAAGAAAAAGCCCGTAGACATTTAAAAAAAAAATGTAGAAGCTTATTGTCCCTTTTTCTTTGTGACAGCAGTTTTCCCCATGTAGGTTCCAGGGTCCCATTGTGGTAAGGGTAGATACATGGCGTACCTTCTACTAACAAGCATGCGTAAAAGGCTAATAATTAGGCGTTTCCTGAATCGGGATGTGGTTGGCCGAAAGAGGCAGATATCACAGATGTCGACTGACTGACTTTCTACCCCACCAGAACATCACACAAGCGATAAACACCTGATGACACAAAGTGCCACCATGTAGATGAGGATAACCGTGGAGAGGTAAGAGAAACAGTGTTCAGGCAGTTGGCCAAATATAAGGCCTGGCTATATTGCGGCCCCTGGCAAGAGCCAGGGCGGGGCTTCAAATAACGAAAAATTGCGTCCTTAAAAGGACGGCAAGTTATAATTGAGTATTGTGTATCACAGACGTAAACCATAACCTGTTACTTTATGGTCATCATTTTCAGGGCGAACGTGGAGAAAAATTACACATAAATCATGGTCGTCCCCATGTAGGATGTAATTTGTCGTTATTTTGAAGCCCCACCCCGGCTTTTGCCGGGGGCCCTAAATATAGACTGACGGCTGAACGGGTTTCCGGAATCTTTCGACGGTTGATCCTCACCCGCATGGTGGCATTTTGTGTCACCGGGTGTTTATCGCTTGTGTGATGTCCTGGTGGGGTTAAAAAAAAAGTAAAGATCCCTTTTCACGCCTTTTGGCGCATCGGGCATATGGGCAGAGCGTCCCATATTTTTACAGACCATCAGCACTCTGTGGGTAATGTGGTCAGCATTACGCCGGCTGTCTTTACTTTCCCTGGACAGCCCATCCTGGTACCCATTTTAGGCTGGGTCGACCTGCCACTGGTGGCTACCAGTGTTGCCACTTTTCTTTGACAAAAAATATCCAAAACGGTGTCAAAAAATATCTAAAAAGATCTAAATTTGCGTGGAAAAGATCTAGAAAAAATATCCAAATTGAAATAGTAAAAAATTACACAGCTTTTGTTATGACTTACCCTACATAATAATGTCCTCACCTTCACTGATGTCTGCCTCACAAGATCCACAGGATAAACTTAGCTTGGATAATGAAGTTGAAGCTTCAAATCCAAAATGACCCTGGTATGCTTTAGCATAGGTCAAATTTCATCCTGTTTCTTAGGTTAGATTTTATATAATTCCTAGCACTGAAAACTCTTTCTACGTCAGCATTTGAGTGGGGTAGTATCGTGGCAGACTTGGCACTTTTAAAGAGCTTACACAATGGACTGTTTGATGAGGCATCTTTAAATTGTCCCACTTCACTCCAAAACGCTTTAGTTTCTGTTTTGTTTGTCCATTCAGCTAACTTAATTTTGGTTAACTGATATTCTGTTTCCGCGACACTATTTTCAGTAGCCCCTAAAAATTTCATAACTTTACAATATTTAGGTATGTCCTTTATTGGCTGAAGTATGTTGCTCACAGAAAAAGTGAAATATTTTTCAAAACATCTAGATTTTCAGGAAGTCTGCTTCAGTTGCTTGAATAATGAGATAAGGAAATCTTGACAGCATTTTCTTAAGTTGTTCTCTTCATTCTCTGTTAACAGTCCTTTTGTTTTTAAATCATCAATTTTTGATTCAATTTAATATCAAGGTGTGGCTTAGGAGCCAAATAGCTCTCTATAGTGCAAGTGAGCAAATCAGCTTTAGAAGTTGGCAACACCAGTCTTTTACCAACTGAGTGAAATAGCAAAGTGAGATCATCAAGTAATTTAACTTTATCAACATGTTTAGATTCGAACAGTTTATTAATTTTTTGCACTTCCATTAGAATAGGTTATTTTAAAAAAATGAATGACAATTTTTTTTTATCACTGTACATTCCATATAGTATTTCAGCTGTGTAGCACTGTTCACTTTGTTTTGTTTTTTCAAAGTGTGTCTTCAACTTCAACCATTGCTTCATAATTCTTTCAACAGCTAGTTAAATTGATAACCATCTAGTTTTGCAATCTGACAGAATTTTCGGTGGTGTGGAACCATCATTCAAGGCTGTATAAAATGTATTGTATTGCTGTTGTCTGACAAATGATTTGGAAAACCAGTAAAGTGTTTCAGCAATAAGGTATTCCAAATTCCTTGGTAAATATTTAGATGAAGCATGTGATAATGCTAGCTGCAATGAACGACGCATACATTTTATAAGTATTAACGATGGGATAGCTTCCTTCAACTTGGCATAAATGCCATTGTTTATACCAACCATCACTGAGGCATTATCAGTACCAATTGCAGCCAAATTCTTCAAGCCTAACTGTTTGCTGATTAAAAGGTCCTTCAGTTCCTAAACTATACTTTCTACATCACATTTTTCAAATTGAACTAGTCCAAGATTTTTTTAACAAATCGATCAAATGGTCACAGTTTGAAATTGCATAGTGACACATTAAAAACATTGCGACGGATACTTCAACTTTTGATGATTCATTTATCAGTATAGTTCTGAAAACAGATGTCAGCGGTGTAATATCTTTAAATGGAACTGCAGTTTTATGCTTTTTTTAGTCTCGGCATGACTCTTTGAGTTTTGGATTTTCGCTTTAATTTCACACTTGCAGTACTTACAACAAGCTTTGGTCACATACCCAGTTTCTAATTTTGTCATCATGCAACCACTCTTTCCAAATTTTTTGCTCATACTTTACTTTTGGCATGTTGAAAGGTTTTTTTCAAAGTGAAAGCCACATAAGAAGAGAGCATTTTTTTTTAATCACATGAAAAAGAAACACAAAGTCAGCACAGTGAGGATACGGTTGAAACAAAGTTAGTATGATTTACTCGCGTTTTTATTAATTAGTACCGGGGCTGCCAGATATTTGTGCTTTGACCCCAGTGAGAGTTCAAAGTTCAAGTAATGGCAGTTGTCAAAATGTACGTGCCAGACCAAAACAAAAATATTGTAGTAAATATTTCACACAGTAATTATTAAATAGACAATGAAAAAAAAAAAAAAAAAAACTATAAAATATCTAACTGCATATGAAAAGTATCTAGAAAAATATTTACGATCTAAACGTCAAAAACAGTATATAAATGCAATGAAAAAGATCTAAATTTGGGAATCCAGTTTCATCCTTGTTAGGACGAAATTTTTTGTCATTTGAAGCCCTACTCTGGCTTTTGTCAGGGGCCGCAATATAGGCAGGCCATACATATGGCCAAATGTCTGAACGCGGTTTCTGGGACCTCTCCACGGCGATCCTCATCCGCATGGTGGCACTTTGTGTCATCGGATGTTTGTCGCTTGTGTGATGTCCTGGTGGGGTAGAAAGTCAGTCAGTCAGTCATCTAAATTTGGATATAAAAGATCCAAAGTGGCAACACTGGTGGCTACCTTAAAAAGTTCATGTCGGTGCCAAATCTACTTCATGAATTTATCTGATGCCTGATTAAATAACCGTTTATATTTATGGTGCATTAGTTTATATAAACAGATTTGATATTGCTGCTTTTAGTGAAAAAAAAAATTTAAATTCAAGAAAAAAAAAAAAAAAAATACATTTTATTGTAATATTTGTTGAACTATTTTCTGAGAGAAAGTTTTGTTTCAAAATGACAACCAGGCACATATTTCAGCGGGAGGCAAAAACAAACATGGATGTCAACAAACCGCTCGCCGAATCTGAAGCAGAAAAGCTCAACTTGCAGGGACTTTCCAAAACAGTCTCTCGTACAGAAAGTGACAGTATCGCATCACATGGAGAAGAAGCAGGCACTTCATCTGCTTCGTTTAATAAGCTGCAGCATGCTGTACAAAAATGTGTGAAAAGAATTACTGCACAACGCAGGTGAACGCTTGACAGGACATCAAATAAAATTTATTATTTATTATAAATGTTTGAAATTTGGGCTCTCCTTTAAATAACGATCGCTAGCTGGAAAGCCGATGGTCGCTTAGTGGGAGTTCACTCCCTTGGTTGCAGTGCAAATATGGACCGTAAAGAGGGAACGACACAAATTACATACTTACCTATCATCATACGGTAGCTACTTTTTAAAATGCCCTCTACACTCTACACCAATAAAACCAGCACAGTTAGATAGCTGTAAACAATTTCTTTCCAATGGTACCTCATTTAGGCTTGTATGTCATTTCTGAGCTGAGATATGTAGGTTTTTGTGGAGATGAGATGTAAGAAACAGCCGCTAAAACTTGTGACCCAGAAACAAGAAGTTTTTTCTGCGCAACCTACTGTGCAGTTCTGTATCGGCTTTGTTTACATTGGACTGTCATTGGACAAATGGCAGGCAATGAGACACAGCCACTGGCTGAGCCAGCGATTACCTGAAAAATGTCACTGTACATCTACCTAGCCACCGTTCAATATGAAATTTTATACACAAATGTAAAATTGGACGGAGAATTCAATTATAACTAGCATTACCAGGACGAGTAACAGTTAAAACCTAAAGCCAACCTCGAATTTACCGCTTTTTCAATCAAACTGATGACAAACAGAAAAACAGAGGACGTCCGGCTGTCGTAGACATGCGCTGTTAATGGGGTTCCCTCCTGCTGTTTTCAGCTATTTATAGCTGGTCCAAATTCCCACCAATGGCAAAATTTCATGAGAGATTTGGACCCATCCGGAAACCAGCCGAGATTTCCCGAAACAAGTTGCGAACGGTTTCCAGGTAACGGAAATTGCAGAAAAGACCGCCAGTTGCCGAACACCGTAGTCGCTACATATGGTTGCGTTTGGTTAGGGAGCTCTCCTTTGAATCGATCCCCAAAATGGCGGCTTTAATATGATAGCGTTCGAAAGAGAGCTAAATTGGCCAATTTCTGGCCATAAAATATCCGAATGCGGGTCAGTTCTATTAAAAATATCTGTGCCGGCTCCGGATAACGAAGCAAATGCTCCTGACAGGGTCTCAGTCTCAGCAATACCGTGCTTGCCGACCTGCTTCTGCGAGTGTGCCTCACCGCCGAGCGTATCCCCCGCTACGCGCGGCGTGGATGGGGGCTAAACTAGATGGCTGGGACTCACGAGCGGCAGCTACCGCATCTCCTGCAACTTCCTCCAATTACTGTACTCGTGAGTCCCATGCACCTAGTTTAGCTCCCGTCCGTGCTGCGCGTAGCGGCGCGGGGGATACGCTCGGCGATGAGTTTAATCGCGTTTGGCGCACACCGATAAGTCTGACATCTACCGCTGCTAAATCCTCCGATCGGAAGAACACAGTATTGCTAATCGGCTTTCATCGTCTGTAATGTCTCAAAATTGGTCAACGGTCGCTAATATCGTCCAAGTTTTGCCGCGATTTGTCCCTTGGCAGACAGTTCATATTTTAGATATATGCCAACACCATCGTTCTGATATTTTTGGATATTTTATGGCCAGAATGTGGCATGCCGCCATTTTGGGGAATGATTCAAAGGAGAGCCATTAGGGGTAGGGTGTGGGGTAGGGTTAGGGTAGGGTTAGATGCGAAAATTGTGACGAACGAGTTCCACATAATAGCCGACAATATGATGCTTGTGAGAGTGGCGCCACTGGATGTCTCCTAATTATGACGGCAATAGCACGCGGCAGGTGCCCACGTGATGGCGAACTGTCCGTTTGAGTAGCATCCACAGTCCATCAATTGTTTGGGTGTGCATGTCACTGTGCGCGATTAATTGGAACTCCTGCGTCAAAATTGTCACATCTAACCCTAACCCTACCCCTAACCACGCAAATTTATCTATCATTAAGGCATACAGATCTGCAGGAGTCACATCCGTGGCAACTAATAGCTCTATTATATAAGCATATTTACTTAAAAAAAAACACACCCAGATTTTCCCGAGGCGTCAAATAAACACCCAGATCTGGGGGATGCACCCAAGCATTAGCAGCCCTAATGTCGACCTCACTGTCTGTTTTGATTCATGACTTGTCCGCTCCGTATTTGCAATGCAGCCAAGGGAGTGAACTCCCACTAAGCGACTGTCGGCTTTTCAGCTAGCGATCTTTATTTAAAGGAGAGCTGAAATTTTGTTTGTCCAGAAATTATTTTTAGGGATGCTAGTGAAGTTTTATGTATTTTTTTTTTTTTAAGCTTATGAAACCATCACAACTAGAGAGAGATTAAAATTACAAATCCAATAATACCCCAGTAAAGCCTTAAGTCAATCCTAAACACTAAACGAAGATGTTAACATTCTAGTGGTGGATACCACCAAAAATACTTTGCTGAGATTAGAACATAAAATGCAAACATTTAGTCATTACATCCCAACATTTTACTGGGCCACAGCCTGGAATCCATCTTTTGTCAGATTTCACGGTACTTTTATTTATATGACCACATCTCTTTGGCTTTGAGATTTGGTAGGGAAATCCCCAGAATGTCCCACAGAGAGGGGGGGGGGGGGCTGTTTGGCTTAGTAGTGTAGTCGCTATTCTTTTAACACTAGCCCTAACCCCCCACCCTATAATATAGTACTGTCCAGGGAAACCCCTAGGTGTCTATAGGAATTAACATATCTTACTCTTTTTTTCCTTGCGTTGTTTCTGGGCCCCATATGAGGAGGGATAGCAAGCATGTCATCAAAGACAATAAATTTGCTGAAATCAGATATATTATGTTAAAAGTTGCAGATATCAAAGCCTAACTGTGAACTACAACACAGTGAACCAATCACCTTTTTATGTGTGAGCGAAAATGAAGAACACCTTGCTCTATTGAAAACCTTATTATCAATGAAGTGATGATGGATATCTTTGTTTACTTCTATTAGATATTATTATTCTCAGTAAATAATCAGCATTTATTTACCCCTGATGTCCCTAAACCCACACTCCTCCTCCAATGTTTCTTTTTCTTTCTTTTTGATTCTCTGCTTAGGGAAATCTTCTTGACATGGCTCATGATGCTAATTGTTTCTGATTTCTTTAGGATTACAGTAAACATTGATTTAAATCATTCAGGACGTAGATCTCTAGTATCATATATTATATTTAGCTACTTTTGTAAAATTAACTCATGGAGAAAAACTTATTACCCACATCAGAAGGATACAATCTACACTGTTTGGTCACATAATGAGGAAAAGCAAACTAGGATACATCATAATAGCTGCAAAGTTAGAAGGGGAGACAAGAAGAGAAGATACTGGACAGTCTGACATTGTAGCATTGAAGATCATCTGTGTCAGAAATGATTGAAAGTTCATGAGGCAGAAAGTTGTGATAGAATGAATATCATTGCCACACATCATTTACTATAAGAAGAAGAAAAACTTGTGATCTTAACGATCCAAGAAACAGAAGAAACTAAGAAAAAGGTGACGTGGCAGGTAACACACCATAGTCAGGAAAACCTCCAGGAACTAGTCCTTATCAGGGCTGACTAGGAACAGCCTCTTCACAGCAGCGGACAACCGTACAGGCCTAAACCTAGCAGACATGGGTGGGCATGCAAAGACAAGAAAACTCAGGCAGAATCGGATGTCACCAAGAAAAATGAACAAAGAAAAAAATTAAAAATTTTTTTTTCTAGTAAGAATGAATGAACGAATGATCTTAACCTCAGAAACATAATTCATTCATATGAGACAGTTTGTTCCCAATGCGGGTTCCAGAGCTCAATTTTGGTGGAAAAAATATTACCACTGTTTGTGACAAGCATGTCATAAAAGGCGACTAATAAGGGTGTGCTGAAATAGGGTGTGTTGGGTGAGAGGTGCTATATCATGGCCAAACTATAAATCAGAACACAATGTGCCAACTGCAGATGAACAGAAAAAAAAAAAGACAGTTTATGTTCTACTTGTACACCCTAGGCTTACAGTGGGAAGAAGAACTGTTATTCTTCAGTCTCTGTCTGTAATAAGACTGGAGTAAGACATTACCTGCAAAACACATTGCTAACCTGCTATTTATAATTTAATAGGGAGCTAGAGGCATGGTGTCCTCCATGTTCAATCCCCTGTAAAGGCTGGGATTTTTTCACGTGGACTTGGACTTCTAGTAATTCCCCTTGGTCTCTGGTTAGTGAGATTGGACGCCCGTGTGCATTGTTTTGCACTCAAAAAATCCCTTGGCAGTTGGAAATGGCAAAGAGTAGCCTAACAGTGTTGCCCAGGAAAAGTGATGAGTTAAAAATCTACCCAAAGTATTTTAATATCCCCGCCGGTGCTGCTGAACTTCTTTGGACTCAGACTTGAGTTAGAAGAAGAACAGAGCACTTATGGGTTACTACCTGTGTGTCATGATGTTGATCCGTTGTTCAAAACCTCAAACCTATTTCTAATTTAATAAGAGGAGTAAGAACAGCAGCTGTAGTTTTGAATAACATAACTACATAGCTAAGTATATTTTGTGCAGAATTAGTAATTTTTGTTTTCTGTTTTCCCCCCAGAGTGTTGCCGTCCATCAAGGAGCACTTTCAAAAGGTTTATAGGGCAGATAGTGAAAATGTGTTAGCAATCTCTAAGTCGATGGTGCGGCAGTTGGAATCAATGATTCTGGTATGTAAGTTCAAACATGAGTATTTGAATCTGCTTCATGTCTTTGTAAATGTCACAATGTTTTAATGGGGAAAATCATTCTAGCAAACAGTGCAAGACAGCTAGTAGCATTCATTACAGTTAATGAAGTTTATATCTACTCAAAGCTTGTTAATAAGTGCTCAGTTTTGTCACAATGTCCATAAGTAAATAGCAACTAAAGACAGAATCAGCAATGCACAACTTAGTTAGTGAACTTAATAAATTATGACAATCAAGATGTGAGGAAATGACACTTTGACATTGGTTAGGACACAAGTTGAAAAAAAAAAAACTTGATTACTAGAATTTCTTTGCACTGGGACTCACAGGGAAAAAAGAGATAAAAAATGTGGTAAGGAGAATTAGAGAATCAGGTGAATAACATGGAGATAACATAAAGTGCGGGAGATGGGAACAGAATAGGATAGCTTGCATGAGTTAGTTCGGAGTTTGTGCTTCCCTGGAGGATTAATAGGGCAGGAGAAGAAGATAGTGTCACATCGCCGACTGAGCCACCCATTGGCTGGCAGGTAGATGACTTCGTCCCCGGTCGGTACAGTATTTGGATCTGTCTTTTTTTATCTCATCAACACTGCGGGAGTCCTCCTCAGGACTACTTGACAGGGAGCAATGCTAAGCTATTCATTTTATATAAACTCAACCTAGTCACAATTATAACCTAAAGCTCCTCCTTTGGTTGAACGGGACAATTAAAATTTTTTTTCACAAAGCAAACCAAGCCAAGATAGTGTTTGACTGTACTAGTTGATTCATTAGTGTGTTTGTGTATTAGTGTAATGCTGTTTCCTGGCAGCTCCAGTCTTCACATTCAGATTTGTTTTATATCCTTTGATATTGATTAATTTAGTTGGGAAGTCCTTATTTCTTCTTCTCTTCTGCTTCTTAACGTTTACTGGCTGTAACCTCCAGCGGAAGATTCTGATTGTTAATCCATTTCTGGACTTTGGTCTTGTCTCAGAAGGTGAGTTTTGCTGCACGCCCTGTCTCATTTGTATGCAGACTGTTGGTTCCCCACGTCTCTGGCAGATGCACACCAGCTTAGAAGAAACACCCTAATTAGTTGGGTTTAACTGCTGGCTTGTTAGGGGGGGGTAGTCTGTCTCCCCCCCCCCCCCCCCCAATGGTGCCCAAGATATAACAAATATCTCCCTTCCAGCAAAACAGCAAATGGTTAATATTATTGTTATTCCTACTTTATGTTATCAGTGCCAAACATGGACAGTGAATAGGGCACAAGAACAGAAAATAACCACATTTGAAATGCGCTGTCTCTGCAAGGTCACTAACAACACAAGAAGAGACAGGGTTACAAATACCATCATTAAAGAGAAAGTTGGAATAAGACTGTGCCTCGATTATTTTGACAGGCAAAGAATAAAATGGTTCAGCCATCTAGTGAGATTGCAGCCTGGATATGAGACTTAACAGCAGAAAATTTGGGAGGAATGCGAGAGGAAGGCTATGAAAGACATGCATAAATGGTGTAGCCGAAACCTGCAAAAAAGATGAACAATCCATCATCCATGCCACCCAAGAAGCGCAAGACAAATGCAGAAAACCGTGACACTGGGCTACAACCTGGTATCAGTGAGACCACAGAAGAAGAAGAAGAAGAATATCATACGACAGATAAAATAGATGATTTATGAGCAGTTATTTTGAAAGGCCAGTTACTTTTGGTTATTTTTAAATGTCATTTTAGAAATACAGTTTAATTTCTTGTGATTTATTTTATGCTTTTAGAATTACAGTTTAATTTCTTTTGCTTTATTTAATGCTCAACAGGAAGATATTGAAATGCAGCTGAATGCATGCGATGTTGAAGAGCTTTTGGGTAGCTTGGACAAAATCAAGACTGAGAATGTGTCAGTGCAGAGAAAGTGGTGAGTGATGTACTAAGAGATGGATGTATATACACACATTTTGAATGGGAGTAGATCTTGAGGCAGACCAGGAAGACTGGAGAGAAAATATACAGGCAGCACTTGGAAAAAAAAAGGCCAATCACAGGGATAAATGGAGGTGGGGATATCTACCAAATTTCAAGGGCTCTGAATGCTGAAGAAGAAGAGAAGATGGATGTATGGATGTGAATGTTATCACCTTTTAACCCTTTTAGTATCAGATAGTTGTTAACTCAGCACTGTGTTTACCCCAGTTTGTGTACTTTGCAGTAACAGTATTTTAATCTCCTAGAGTTAAAGTAGTAGAAGTATGGATCTGAGAAAAAGAGGACATCCAAGGAAAACATTAAGAAGAACACTATTATGAGAAGCTGAAAACCCTGGGATGAACTCATTTCAGAAATCGAGAGAGTTGCCTGTAATAGAGCAGATTGGAGGAATCGAATGCGAACCCTATGTGACATCTAATGGCACACAAAGGATGATAATTATGCACATGAGTAAATTCTGGTTGAATACAGTGTATTGTTTGGTACTGAAAGAGTTAAACAGACATCAGATCATTTCTAATTGTTATATTAGAAAAGTTCTTTTGCAATTATGTTGATTAAGACTGTCAGTTTTAACTGATATTTAGTTCAACAGCCACTGTCTGAAGAATAATTGCAATGGATCTTCAAGTCTCTATCACTTGCCCTAATTGTATGCTGTCTCAGACAGCTGTTCATAAAGCCTTGCTGTTATCCTCTCATTTATAACTGTCTGTTCTAGCTGCCTGCCCTTAGCTTTAGACCTTAGATGTATTTTTTTTTGTCAGCTGCCGCAGTGTAGCTGCAAGACTCTTGCCTGCGGACCTGAATGCCATGAGTTCAAATTTGGATTGCATCTAAGTTAAAAAAAAAAAAATAACCTTGGCTCCCAGAAGGTGGACCCAGTTCGCTTGACACTCTGGTCATAAAGGTAGGCGGCCAATTTGCTACCGCAGCGACAGTATATAACACCAAACCTCACAAGACCTGTTGCAAAGTTACCACTTCGTCTTGTCCGACGGTCCGTAAAGCGCAACAGGAGATGCCCGGGGCCTGTGAGTCTTGACACAGGTCGGCACACCCTCTGAAATAGTCTAAGAGGATATTATGGGCTGAAACAATTGTTGATGAGAGACCCTTTTACTGATGATCGGTAAACTCCTGCTGTGCATGCTCCTGCTGTGGAGTTCTAATTCTTATTTTTGGATATCAGGTGAAGTCCTGGAAAGTAAAGGTACCCAGCGTGATGTTGGTCACCCATAGAGTGCCAACTGGTCTATAAAATATAGCACTATGTACCCACAATTCCTTTAGTTTGTTTTGTATTTTATGTGTAGGGAGTCGCCATGGCGTAGTGGCTAGATGCTCGCGCGCGGATCGGAAAATCATGGGTTTGCTCCCTGGCGGAGCCAGACTTTTTTTTTCAAAAATGACCTTGACTCCCAGGTCGACCCAGCTTTGAGTGGGTGCCAGGTGCAGTCCCGGGAAGTAAAGGTGGCCAGCGTGATGCTGACCACATCACCCATCTTGTGCCGATTGATCTATAAAAATAATGGTCTAGCCCTATATTTTATGTGTATCAGACTTTTCATTGATCTCTTTTCTTGAGTTAATATATTGGTTTTTGTGTGTGTGTATTTCCAAGGCGACCTAGCCGCAGCCCTAATGAAGATATGAAGGCACACCTTCAAGAATCATCTCAAAAGGAGTTGAAGCAGCTTCAAAAAATACTTCTCACCTTAGAATCTCAGAACAAGCACCTGAATGAGTGTGTTGTCAAAAGTGATGACAAGCTGCAGGAGTCCGTTAAGTTGGTGGAGAATCTTTGTTCTGCTTGGGAGGAGGTAATTATGTTTTGTTTTCCTGAGTAGATATTAATAAGAAATATAGAAGCAGCCATAAGTGGGAACTTTCAAAACTTTAGGCATGTGTTCAAAATGTGTGAGGAGCGGCTAACCGAATAGTTAAAATGCAGGACTCTCAAGCAGGAAGCCCGAGTTTGAATCCTCTGTAAGCCTGAGGCTTTTTCTGTTGGGGGCAAAATAAAATCCTCACCTGCATAGTCGTGGCGACAGCACTAGCCATGTGGCCGTAAATCCTCAGGCTCAAAGACCCCTATGCCCACACCGCAAAAGTGGTATAATAAAGACAGTAACTGGCAGGTTTTAAAAAAAAATGTGTTCTGTCACCTGATATTTACAATTTGTACAGACAGTTACTGGTGTCATCGGAATTTGAACTTTTTGTTTGCTGCTGAAGATGGGGGGCAGATCGCTTATGGGAGTGTCCTGAGTGCAATGCTTAATTCAGCATTCACTTTGTACAATGAAACTGTAATGAGATACATAAATGATATGGTGGAAATACAGGTTTATGGGCAAAGTATAAACAGCCTGCGATATGCTGACGATTTAGTTTTGATCAATGAAAATTAAATACATAAAATGATGGAGATAGTTGTAACAGAAAGTCAAAACAAAGATCTTTGAACAGCAGAAAACCGGGAAAGCTAACTGGTGAAAAAATGCCTGATCACAGGCATACTGTAAATGGGCACAACACAGTTACATCTTCGGATGAACGCAGAAGAATGAAAAACAGCAGAAAGAATCAGAAGTAATAAAGATTAGGGGTAAAATGCATGCCACAATGCCACATCAAAGTAAATGGTATAATTCTGAAGCCAGTTGATATGTTTAAGTACTTAGGTACATTGACAACAGCAGATGGAAAATGTTCAAGTAAAGTCCTCATTATACAAAATGAAGGATATTCTGGGTGTCTTCCTTTGTCATTTGTGCTGAGGAAGCGAATTCTAAAGAACTACGTACTCTCAATTCTAATATATTTAATCGAATCATGGACACTTAGCAGTTGAGTGACAAATTATGTGGAAGCGGCAAAGATGTAGTTTTCCATAGACAAATGATGAGAACACCCTGGGCAGTTAAAGAGAGAAAGGGAGATATCTTGAAAGCAATTAACCTGCAAAGAGAACTGATCACTCACATCAGGAGGAGACAATCCAGATTCTTTGGTCATTTCATGAAAAAGAGAAAACTGGAGTACACCATGATGTGAAGTTAGAGGGGGAAAGGGAACAGAGAGAAGATGTTTGACAGCAGGGCATGGGAGATCATCTTTGTCAGAAATGATTGAAAATACTTATAGTTCATGTATATGACATTCATAGGCATGTCTGTCTGTAGCCTTCTGTTTTGTGTACTGTCCTTTATTTCTGATACAGCTGTTCTTCCATGCCATGATACCGAACTGTCTAACATCTTTTCTCATGGTTTCCTTCACAATCTCTTTAACTCCCATATTTAACTCCCAGATGTTTGACAGCAGGGCATGGGAGATATTCTGTGTCAGAAATGATTGAAAATACTCAAGACAGAAGGCCGTGGATAGTCATGACTACCAGTACCATATGACATGAACCTAAGAAGAAGAGTAAATATACATAATTGTTTTTCTGGCTGTGCAGTCTAATATTTAACAACATCATCATCATCATCATCAGTTCTCGTTATGCCTAGTGGCACTTGAGGCTTCAGAGAGGACTTTCTATGCTTTCCTGTCCTATTCAATCTTCAGTGCAGTTTTCCATGTCAAAGATGCTGCACTCAGGTCACTTTTTCCATCGTTCGTCTCCATGTTGTTTTTTGGCCGCCCCTGTTTTCTCTTTCCCTCTGGTGTCCATGTGAGAGCTGTTTTGGCGGGTATATCATGATTCATTCTCATGATTTATAATAATTGTCATAGAAAATGTATGTTTGTGGCTGTACATAACTGCTTGCACTGCCAAACATAGCACATCAAGCATCCAACTTCGGCAGGCATTTGTTGACCAGGTTAGCTTCCCAATTTTCTGCTGAACAAAGACTTTTGTTTTGACTTTCTGTTACATTGATCTCCATCATTTTGTGTATTTAATTTTCAGCGATCAAAACTATATTGTCAGCATATCGATGTGTTACATTTTTTTCAAAAATAATTATTGTTGTTATTTATTTTGCAGGCAGTATAAAATACCTTGTAAATACGTAACCCTCTTATTTTATTACAGTACTATTATTTCCTTTGCAGGCTGCTTTAGTTTTATCTGATGAGACAAGACAAAAATTCCTGGATGCAAATGTTTATATGTAATCTGTTGCGCTGCGAGAGCACATATGCTTTAATGTGTAAATAAAATGTGTTTTTAATTGGATTTTTAGAATTGTTAGTTAGTTTTCCTTTGTTGAATTTCACTGTCTGACTAAATGAAATAAAAATAGTTAACGAAGGCATCTTGAAAAGTTAACTCACTAAGAGAACTTATACACTTCATCTGATGAGGGTAGTTCACATTTTATAGGCATATTATGAGGAAAGCAATACTGAAGATGCCCTGACAAAAGAAATATGGAAGTTAAAGAGATGCTGAAGGAAACCATGAGAAAAGATGTTAGACAGTTCGGTATCATGGCATAGAATAACAGCTGTAACAGAAGTAAAGGACAGTACACAAAACAGAAGGCTACAGATAGACATGCATATAAATGCCATGTGCATGAACTATAAGAAGAAGAATTTGTAGGATGAATGTTAAACGCTTTGTATTTTGGGGCCAAATAGAAAGGGAGGGTTTACTTATTTAACCGGTCAAAATGGACGCTAGGCAGGGGCGCTGTTTGGAGCCGAGGCAAATTTGTTGCTTCTGCTGGATGGTGTCCGATGCATTTTCCCTCCATTTGTAGACGATATAGTTTCGTCGCCAAGCTTCTGAGCTGAATGCATGGCGTGACACAGTGAGCTGCGGATTTCATTTGGAATGTTTTTTCGACAGTGACCAACGTGGTGATCTGAATTGTAGATTCAGAAAATAGCGCGACCGTGATGCCTGTCGTCGCAATGTTGGTGGTGCCCGACCGTGTGTGGTTAAAATTGATCGCCTGGGCAACTGCTGATCTGTTGGTGACTTCTGCTACCATCATTGCTGAACTGCATTTCTAATGTCGGACTGTTTGTTAGCACTTCGGAGGGCTACCTTATGCTTTAATGCGAGTGTATGCTAGATTTGCTGAGACAGCAGTCTGTCAGTCTTTTCACAAGGGACTGTGATAAACATTCTGTGTGTTTTTCGTTGGCACAGGAGCAGAGCAAAGATGGGGTGACCCGTTTGCTATCAAGCTGAAACTAAGACTACCAGACTTATCTAACCACATATCAGAATGGTAGTGATTAGTGAAGATTATCATAACACTCTGGACAGACCCAGTCTTCTGCCAAGGAGCCCCAACGTGTAAAATGGCTATTGATGCCTGTTCTGTTGTCTAATCAAACCTCTTGTGCACTTAGTAAATTGTTCATTTCTTACATGACTAGGTTGTAACACAATGACCATCAGCCTAGAAAGGGATACAGATGTGTCTTTTGCCGTATTATTCGTCGTCGCGCTAAGTGCAGGACATGTCACTGATTATGTCGCTTCTTCCAGTACCGGGCCAGACATTGCAACCAGTGTCTGCAAGTAAATCTGCATGCTCGTTGCATGGAAACACCCACGTGACCCGGCACAAAGATTAAGGTTATGCCAGCCATTCGTGAAGTGTTTTGTGATACAAGCCGTTCTTGTCTGATGAACTCGGCCTTGCTTTTCTTGTGCATATTCACTGAGTCACTCAAAATGCATGTGTGTCAACTCTTGAGTACAAATGCTAAGATCCTTGTTACAGCCAGTTTCCATCGAGACTGCTAGTTGTAGCAACAAAAATGCCATTCACGTCTTTAATGGTTTCCTCCTTGAGCTCACTGTGAAAGTCCATACACTTGGCTTACCTCGAATTACAGCTAATCTCAGAAAATTGATAAAATATGTAAGACTTTTAAATATATGGATAATGGAATCCTCAGTAGGGTTTGGGATTTTTTAAATCTCGGGGACAAGAATAAAATTGAACCTATTTCAGTCTGGGTCGACAGCACTAGCCATACGAACCTAAATCCTCAGGCTCAAACATACGCTGCCTACACCATAAAAGTGGTAAATACAAACAGTTTGGGGACCAACCATGATCACACACGCTAAGCAACGTGGAATATAACAAGTAGGGCTTACGATTCACCACGGAAAAAGAGAAAAACTCAAATGCATCCGGACAAGATGGCAGGAAAAGTCTGCAGCTCTCTGCATGGAGACAGATGACAAAAAGCTATAGCATCTAGTAAAGAGTCTCAATGAGGAGAATAATACCAGCCGTGCCCACACTGTCATCGTTTTAACATCGTAACATTTAACTTTAACTGAAATCGTGCCAAGACACACCACGATTGTCAGTAAAACAAGCCAAAGGCCTCGTGTTTGTGTACATGGCAAAGAATCATTTTTACCTCAGTGGCCAGTCGGGCATACGATACTAGACTTATGTTTCTAGATGCTAACAGGCACTCACTTGGCATTGTTGTCAACATTCGCCGCCTTTACCTCCCATGACATTTCGTGGTGCCTATTTTAGATTTCGTCGAACCGGGTAATCCGCCCTTTCCAGATGAGAACCCCCAAACCTTCGGCACCACAGGTCAATGTTTATATAGACCAGAGGTTTTCGACCATTTAATCATTTTACAACGCCCCAACTGAAAAAAGAAAATGAATAAAAAGAGGAAGAGAAAGTTAAAAATAGTAAACATTGCTAACAAGAAATCTATCCACATAATTCAGTTTTAATTAACATGACAGACAAAAATCACGATATCCGTCAATCGAGTGACCGAATATCTGTGTGATGGTTTAATGGTTTGAATAACGGATCAACATCATGGCAAAAGGGGTAATCAATATGTGCTCCGTTTTAATTCTAATTCTAACCTAAGTCCAAAGAATCTCAACGCAGTGCACGAAATCCGTTGCACCGGCGAGGATTTTGAAATACTTTGGGTGGATTTTTGGCCGTTCGGCTAATCTTTTCCATTTTTAACTGCCAAGAGATTGTTTATCGTGCGCAACAATACACACGGGCGTCAGATCTTAACTACACAGAGACCATGGAAAATAACTAGAAACCCATGGGGGAAAATCCCAGCCTTCACCGGGGCCTGAACCTAGGAAATCTAACATTCGAGACGGACACTATGCCTCAAGACCACTTAGCTCCCGAAAATGGTTGACACTGTGTTGTCTTTAATGATATCTGAATCTGCTATTTTTGGTCTGATACTAGAAAAAGCACAACGGGAATTACTCGCCATATCAAGCTGTGTGTTTAAATATATTTATATATGTGTGCTTGTGTGTGTCTATAGGGTTTAACAGGGGTTTTCGAGATTTTTATCTGGTTCTCTCTTCAAGACGGGAATCCTACAGACTGCAATCCTTGAGGGGAAAAGAATCTATCTGAAGAAAAATGTCTATCCGGGTTAATCTTTTTATTTCATAAACTTCCGTACTCTCTCTAAAGATTATTATAAACTTTAATAGTACAGTTAAATTATAAAGCCTTTAATGCAAGATTTCACAAACAAAACTTATTGGAACTAATATATCTATATTCTATATATATATATTATTTTATATTAATAAAAATCTTAATTTTCCGATGTTGTAATCCCTAAACTCGGAAACTACTGAACCGATTGTTTTCAAATTTGCACACAACGTTGCCTTCAACTCCAGGCGTGATTTTTTTGTCAGAAAATCACACAAACCACGAACGACGTAGCTCCAGCAACGCTCAAATCATTATTTCTTTTGTTGCCGGCCTGAATTTCTTTTTAGTTGATCGGCTATTTTTGGCTGCCGAGCTCTTATTGAACTTTGCATTATTATTCAATCTCATTTCCTCTATATGCTCGAGTGTTTGGTAGCGTAGTTTGTAACAATTCTGCTTATCACGCGGTGACCCGCGTTCGAGTCCCCGCTAGGTGATATAATATTTTTTTAAGCCCCTAACTGGGATGCTGGCACGCTGTGTTGTGGTTTATGGCTAGGCTGCGATATCTACGCCTTTTTCGGTTTGGGATTTCACAGCTAGCCTGCGACAGCGGCGACGTGATGCTCAATGGTCATGTCACGGGTATTCTTCGTTCCCCTCGAGAGGGCCGTTGGCACGTTGTGTTGTGGTTTACAGCTAGGCTGCGATATCTGACATAAACTCTTCAGTCTTCGGTAGTAAAGTTTTAAGTATTCAATCCTTCACGCGGGTGACCGGTGTTCGATTGCCCACTGGGTGATAGTTGTTTTTTTTCCCTTAACAGGGTGATTGCCACGTTCTGTTGTGGGTTACAGCTAGGCTGCGATATCTACGCCTTTCGCCCAAAGACATCCGATTTCAGTTAAGTCACAATTAGCCTCCCCGCGACGCTTCTCAATCAAAAACTATTCGGCGATGACAGAAACTGTTACCTAAGACGGCTTACAGTCCAGTTTAGTTTGGGTGGACACGGATGCCAATGATAGTTAAAAATCGCTCCTTCGGAGAGGGAGAGATAACGGGTGCGTTGTATTTTTATCCGCTATTCGTGAGTATAGTGCACTTTTCACTGTGGGTTCCATCATTGGTTACGTGATAAAGTTTTTTTTTAAAATTTCTATGTTGGGGGCAACATTAAACTAAATAGTCCGTGGCGACAGCATGCGGCGCAAACTCCTCTTTTCTACACCAACCTAGTGGCGCGGTGATTTATGTCACAGGCGTGAGGGGAAGTTAAGTCCAACATGATGTGTATAAGGAGATACTCCGTACGTCACTCGGGCGCCAGTCCTTTACTATCCTGGTTGTACGGAACCTCACGCAAGACCCCTACAGCACGTCCTCGTCGTGCGCCACGGATAATGTCTCAAATGAGCATTAACAGAGCTGTCAGGGGATCTCGGAGTTTGGCGGCCCCCAGAGGTGATGTGTCCTTGTGGCTCTCATCAGCCCGCCCCCAAACGCTTGGGTGAAAAATGTTATCAAAACTCATTAGGAACATGAGTAGGTTTGACAAAAGTACAGCTAAAATTACAACCCTTGGTTAAAAGACTGCTGAGTAAAGAAAACATTGCTCAATGCTCATCCTCGGTTAATTCTCAGTGTCGTCGTCACCGCGCTGAGGTGCACCACAACAGCAACCATACATGGGCTGGCCATCCTTGTGCATCCTCGGTTGGCCCTCAGTGTCGTCGTCACCGCGCTGAGGTGCACCACAACAGCAACCATCCATAGGCTGGCCAGTCACGTACATCCTCGGTTAACCCTCAGTGTCGTCGTCACCGCGCTGTGGTACACCACAACAGCAACCATCCATCGGATGGCTAAGCCTAAATGTCCGACAAAACTAGATCATACGGATCAAAATCTGACCATCAAAATTTGCACTGAACTGAAAAAGGCCGAATGTCCACACCCAAAGACCCCACTCGCCCGAGTGTTGGGACAAAACTGATAACGATACGCCTGATTCAGGATGTGAAATTCTGTCGGGCTAATGTACCTATCTGTGTGGTCACAAAAGTCCAAAACCCACGGGCTGCTCCCCGCTGACTTCCAGAGGGCGCAGCCCCTGTCGAGCGGGAGGCCTGATACGGTTGTGAGGTTAAGCAGGCATGTGCAGGACGTGACGATTCCTTGGGTGAGCCCAGAACCAGAGCGCCATGTGCCGGCTCTGCATGCATGGAAGCCTCCTTGGATGGCGGGGAATGCCCATGATCTGCCCCTGCCTTCCCTTGAGGGCCAACTGTTCCACAGGGGGCTGCCCCAAAGGGGTACTCCGGGGGCAATACCTGCGGCGAAGGAGACAAGGCGGACACCACACAAATCAGGCAAAGTCCTGACCCACACAAAACAATGGCCACAGTCACCCTAGAAATAGGCCTGACGTCTTCCTTCGAAGTCGGCGTACAGCTGCCCAAGAGGCAGGGAAATGAAAAACGGTTGTACACGCAAAAATCAGGTCCAGGTGAAAGCCAAAAGTCCAAGCGGACGATTAACCGGGACCTTCCACTGGAATTCACAGCCGGTGATCGATAAAAAAAAAAAAAAAAAAACAACAACAATAAGAAAGAGACAAACACTGTTCTTTGGCCACACAATGAGAAGATGGACATTGAAAAACATTGTGACAACTGGAAAGATCAGTGGAAAACTGGGTAGAGGCAGAACAAGAGAGACGATGCTGGGTAGGCTGAAACGATGGGGTGGAGGGATATCAAAAGAGCTGTTCCAGGCAACCAGAGATAGTGATCTGTGGAGACGCATGAACGCCTACTTCAGTTGATGATAATATGTCGTTTATTTCACGCATTTTCGTGGCGTTTTGCACTCGTGGAGCCAAAAAAGAAGCGCGTGGGCATTCACAGCACGCTCAGCGGGCAGAACAGTCAAAGAAGCCAACTGCGCCTTCTCCATGACAACCAGCAGCATTACGATGGAGGTGATGGCAGTGACGCTAGCGTTTGCCTGGCTCAAAACACAAAACTACACCCGCGTATGTATACTCAGTGATTCAATGAGTGTGATCCGGAGGGTTCAGGCAGGTTCGGTGCGACTACAATGGCTTGAATCATTATATAAGTCAACTGCGCGTAGAGCCACCTTTATTTTTGTTTCGCGACAGGAAGGTGTTGATGGAAATAAAAGAGCGGATAGGTTGGCTGCATCCGCTATCATTACCGACGGCCTGCCTATGGATCATGCTGACATTACTAATGCCTTCAAAGAAATTGAAAGGATAGAGGAATTTGGAGGCAGTGGATCTACATCACTCGCTAGAATGGCAGACTTGGGAAATAAGATCGGCTTAGCAAAAAACGAGACGCACACCAGACGACTTGTTAATCAACATAGAACTGGTAATATAAGCCATCGGATGTTGGGGTTCATACTGAGGGGAGGATCTAAGCACCTATGGACATGTCCGGAGTGCAATGATGACAACCCAACTAACTAACTCGTGGAGCTATTAAAGAGTAGATCAAAGCATCTACGGATCTGTCCACAGTGTTGTGTCCATAGTCCGATGATGCTTTTTGTTTTCTTTTTTTCAGAATTGATATTTGCTCCCAGACCGACAGAGGAAAATATGGGTACCAGATAATGTCATGGGAAGAAAAGGCAGCTGATATGACGTTGGCCACGTCGAGTGCTGATTTTACTACAACAAAAAGAATATTGATAAGGGAACACTTTGCAATATCTCTTCCCTCTCAGTTTCACAGGCTTGGGACCGTCACATGACATCACATATGTCACGTGGCCTGATTAAAAAGATGTGAACCTATTACTGGTTCAGATGGCAGAGCCATATTGGGTTAGGTTAGTAGTAACTTTTAAGTAATTGACTTTGGCTCACAGAGCGACTTAGCCTTAAATGGGTACCAGGTAATATCCTAGGAAGTAAAGGCGGCGGGTGAGATGTTGACCACATCAGCAACAACAGAGTGTAGATTGGTCTATAAAACTATGAGGCTAGAATCATATAGCCTAACTCACTTCTTTACTAATATACGGGGGGGGGGGGGGTGTTAGAGCTCTGTGGCAAAGTGGTCAAGCCGTTTGCCTAACGCTCTTGGATTGTGTCGTTCGTTTCATGAGCGCCAATTTAGCTAAGAATTGTGGGGGTTGCAGCCGCTAAAGAGCTCGTGCGTTGCATGGGCTGCCAATTGTTTTGTGGCGAGAATCAGGGCCTTAATGGACATTGAAAGACAAATTAAGGAACTTTTTTTTTCTCTTTGAAAACATTACTCTATTTTTTAATTTAAAATATTTATTTTATTGTTATGTATTTTTAATTTTAATTTGTTTTATTTGTTTGCTTATGTAATTATTTGATCTAATGATGTAGTTTATTTTATTTATGATACTTTTATTCCCAATGTTATTGAAATTTTTAAATTTTATTTATGTAGTTATTGTAAGTACAATTTTAGTAAAATAAAATACCTGAAATAAAGTACACAATCGTAAATAAAATTCACTAACTGACCTAATAAATAAGCTTACATATTTAGAATATAAAAAAAAACCTGCATATTAACATCACTTAATACAGTATAATCAACCTCGTTAAAGTTACAACTAAATAAAAACACTGCTGATATTTCTAACTACTAACAGGAAATATTTTAATATTTGCCACCCCCAGAAGTTGTACACTATTTAGTTAACAAATAAAAACATATTTTTAGATTTTTTATAACATTCCTAGATCATTTTAAAACTTAAATTTATACTAATATCTTAAATAAATGTATAGTTTCTATTGATTACAGTTTCTAAAGATTAGCATACATAAATATAGCACACTGGACAATCTAAAATTAAAAACAGTTAGTATATTGTATTAGGCATGCAAATTATGGTTAGTATTATCTAAAACTACACATAAAATTATAATTAGATTGTTAAATAAAAAGAAGTTGAAACTAATTGTTAAGATTTTTTTTTAAAAAAACATACTTACCACCAGCTGCTCAAAGAAATGCATAATTACCACTAGCTGCTCAAAGAAATGCATACTTACAGACTGTCAATGAGGACCCTGTGAATATTACCCTTGTGCAGGTTGGCCAGTATTGATGTTGCTGTACGTCTGATGTCAGGGTCATATTGTATGGAATTAGCCAAGCACCAGCCTTGAGGTTCCGGAGCAGCCAACATAATCTGAACGTCGTAGAGACACTCGTAGACTGTGTCTGATGTTGGCCTTTTATGGAACATCATGCACCAGAGAACCACGCCCAGGGAGTACACGTCCACCTTGTAAGGATCCACAACAGTCCGGCAATTTAGCTCAGGAGCACGATAACGTCTGGAGCCGCCAATGTCTTCTGAAAGAATGGTTGTGTCACCTGGAGGAATGGAATTTGATAAACCGAAATCTCCCAGAACTGGGTCGTTGTTCTCGTTGATGAAAATATTGGCAGGCTTGATATCGCAGTGTACTATTCTCTGTTTATCATTGAGATAACGCACTGCACACGTCAGTTGGATGAAGTACTTTACACACAACTCTGGGGTCATGGTTTTCAACTTTGAGCTTAAGGTTCCGTTAGGGCAGTAGTGAGTACAGATGGCCAAGTATTCCGGACATCTGACAGATATATTATGTTTGATGACGTGTGGGTGAGACAGTGCTCGTAAAATGCCGACCTCTCTATCAAACAACCTCTTGTTTCTAGCTCCTCCATCATCAGTCAACAATGACAGTATCTTCACGGCTCTCTTGTTTAAAGGATTAACAAGTGAGGTGGCTAGCACAACTTCTCCACTCATTCCACTGCCGAGAACCGGACCACGAGAGAATCCATATGTGGTGAAGAAATCCTCAGGTAGACTGACCAACCAATGCTTCATTTCTAAACCCTAGAACAGGAGACTCCAAGTTAGAATATAATATCCAAATGAAAAAGCACAAGCGAGAATATGCGCACGATCTTTCTACTAGCATTCGAGAGAATGTAATGATGAAATGGGACGCTGAGTTCTGGCTTATATAGTAGGGGGCAGTCCATAGTGTGGTTTTGTCGGCGTCCGCGATAAGGCTTTGATTGATAATATTCAATGGACCATAATTGGCCGTTTCTGTCCTTGTTTGATGCGACTGTAGACACTCCCACCAGACTTGCCACTGGTGTCTCATCCGCCGCCTTGAAGTGACCGCCAAAGAGCCGGACCCGTAATCTAACCAGATGGCCGCTGTTGTCGGTACCTCTAACAAAGTCCAATGGCGTAACTTTAAAGTCCTTACAGAAAATTCAATGGGAGTGGGCTATGTTTGATGCATTAACCTTTTGATGTCATGGTCGTGAATGAAGTAAATCAATATTTGGAGCTTATTAAAACACAGGCGGTCACCAACATGGTCAACCACCTTATGTCGGCTCGCCTTTGTGATGGCATTGTTGATAGTCAAGAACATTTTCGAAATTAGTAATACCATTGTACATTGTCAAACAATTAGGCCGTGCAGATTTACAGACTCGTATTTTAGATTCTACTATATTATTTAATTATTGACATTATAATTTTTTTTAATCCATAATTTGCAGTTTGATGTTGGAAGTATATATATTTCCCAGCCAAGCTAAGGATCTTTTTTCAATGACAGTTTTGTCTCGTATGGATTGATATTTGGACTTTTGTTTCAATTCCAATATTTTATTATAGTATTCACAATAGTTAGTTTGCCATTGCGCCGATCTGTCAGCTGTCGTTACCACTGTCAAAATCAAAGAAAGACATATCTTTTGCAGTTGGAGTCGAATCCGGAACTCCGGCATTACGTAGCGCGTTTGTAACGCCTCAGCTACAGACCCTGACAGAGAATAATTAGACAAGCCTAAAAGATATTTACTTGCAGTGGAGATGTGGTGTTTGAGAAGATGGCAAAGATGGAAAGTTACGGGAAAAGTCCAACATAATGGAGGAAAAAAAAGGGGACGGGGAGGGGCTTATGGTTAGCGTTAGTCGGTGTTCATTTCACTCCCTAACACAGTATACTATCGGACTTTTCTGGGAGCTCTCCATGAAGTTTTGGAGTTGTCGATATGCGGGTGAAATAAAATAAAATGTCCTTGTTCGGTTAACGAATGCAGTTTTTACAGAGATCTTGGGTTATCGTTGCCGAAGCTGCAGTGTTCGTTCGTTATGCGACGCTATCGAATGACAGCTAGCCGGTCGGCGGAGAGCAACCGAGTCATGCGGTGCAATGAAGTCGACCCTCTCGACTGTAACATTTAACCTTTAACCTTTAACATGTAACTTTAACTGAAATCGTGACAAGACACCCCACGATTGTCAGTAAAACAAGCCAAAGGCCTCGTGTTTGTGTATCTGGCAAAGAATCATTTTTACCTCAGTGGCCAGTCGGGCATACGATACTAGACTTATGTTTCTAGATGCTAACAGGCACTCACTTGGCATTGTTGTCAACATTCGCCGCCTTTACCTCCCATACATTTCGCGGTGTCTATTTTAGATTTCGTCGAACCGGGAGTAAATTTACTTTCACTCCGCCCTTTCCGGATGAGAACCCCAAATCTTCTGCCCCACAGGCCAATGTTTTTATAGACTAGAGGTTTTCGACCATTTAATCATTTTACAAGGCCACAACTCAAAAAGAAAATGAATAAAAAAAGAGGAAGAGAACGTTAAAAATAGTAAACACCGCTAACAAGAAATATATCCACATAAATCAGTTTTAATTAACATGACAGACAAAAATCACGATATCCGGCAATCGAGTGACCGAATATATGTTTGATGGTTTGAATAACGGATCAACATCATGGCATATGGGTTAATCAATAAGTGCTTCGTTTTGCTTCTAATTCTAACCTAAGTCCAAAGAATCTCAACGCAGTGCACGAAATCCGTTGTACCGGCGAGGATCCTGAAATACTTTGGGTAAATTTTTTAACTCGAAATTTTTGGCCTAGGCAGCGCCGTTAGGCTAATCGTTTCCATTTTTAACTGCCAAGAGATTTTTTTATCGTGCTCAACAATACACACAGGCGTCCGATCTTACTGCACAGAGACCAGGGAAAATTACTAGAAGCCCATGTGGGAAAATCCCAGCCTTCACCGGGGTCTGCAGCTGGGAAATCTGGCATTCGAGACGGACACTATGCCTCAAGACCACTCAGCTCCCGAAAATGGATGACACTGCGTTGTCTTTAATGATATCTGCTGTTTTTGGTCTGATACTAGAAAAGGCACAACGGGAATCACTCGCTATATCAAGCTGTGGGTTTATATACATGTATATATTTATATATGTGTGTTTGTGTGTGTCTGTAGGGTTGAGCAGGGGTTTTCGAAATTTGTATCTGGTTCTCTCTTTAAGGCGGGAATCCTACAGACTGCAATCCTTGAGGGAAAAAAAAATCTATCTGTAGAGAAATGTCTAGTCGGGTTAATCTTTTTATTGCATAAACTTCTGTAACCTCTCTAAAGATTATTATAAACTATTAACAGTACAGTTAAAATATGAAGCTTTAATGCAAGATTTCAGAAACAAAAAGTAATGGAACTAATTATTATATATGATTTAGATGAGACTAAAACACAAGTCCGTGATGTAAAAAGATTTATTGATTATCTCAAATTGCTTTACTAAATTTAAGAATGTTTACAGTTATCTAAAATGTCATCACAGAGGCAAGCCACGTGTTGCTTGATTTCTTTGTTGGTGACTGTCATTGATGTATTAGGCTCCAAATATTTATCTATGACTATCCTACTGCCTGGTCCTCAAAAGTGCGGCTCAGGTCAATACATCAAATGTAGGTCATCCGCCGTGACCCTTTTTGCGAGTACTTCAAATTTACGTCACCGGACTTTATCACAGTACCGACAACAGCGGCCAGCAAGACAGAATATAGGTCCTGTTCTTAGGCGGTCAAATCAAGATGCAAAGCAATTGAGATGAATGCTTTGTGCGAAACTATGAGCTATGGATTTCACGTGGGATGTTTTTATGGTCAAGATTGTGCCCGTGGCGTGTTTTTGACGTCTCTAAAATTTAAGGTTGCTAATAACCATCAGAATGGCTTATGCATTTGCAGGTGTAATGCTGGCGTTGGTGATTTACCATGCAACAGTACGCTGTAATTCTAGTGCGGTATTGTTTAGTGTTGGCACACATGACAGCTATCTTATGCAATTTTACTTGCATGTGGAAGATTCAAGATTTGAGGTGGACTGACAAGTTTTTCACTAGTTTCCAAATAAAACTTACAAGAACATTTTGTGTGATTTGCACTGGCACAGGAGCGGAGCAATTATGGGTAAAAATCCGTCCGCAGTGACGCTAAAACCTTGACAAACGAAAAACAACTGATTGGATATAGATAATATTATGATTCGGGATATCTATGCTGGTGTATATATAGGTAATAGGCTTAGGCGTTGGGAACGCACGGGTAACCGGTTCGCTGGCCTCACAGACTGGTTAGTAGTAACATCAAGAGTAAGTTCTTTCACCTTTTCTTTCTATAATATTAATGGACAGTATTAATAAAATAGAAACAACACCACCAGATGTGGATAAACAGGAGGACTTCATTGCTGACTACAGTGCATATTCAACAGTTAAATTAAATAGCTCTGCCGGACCACATAAACCAACTACACGACAGTTGCCTTATTCAACACATAAAGGCCAATATTGAAAAAAAAAGTCATGAGAATATGTAGAGAGCAACAAACCATCGACATAAAGATCAAAGATCAAAGTCTAAAACAAGTGCAAACATTTACAAACTTGGAAAGAATCTTTACATGCAATGGTGAAATCGACAGAAAGATAGAAGCGAGAATCCAATTTGCTACAGTTTTATATTTAAAATACAATGCTATCCAAATAGAGACAAACAGACAAATTATAAATACAACATTTATACCGAATTTAGGTTACCAGTGTCAGACTTGAACATTGACACAAGAAAAAGAGAGAAACTAACAACCTCTGAGATGAGATGTTTCGGAATGGCTGTGAATAAAACCAGAAGAGATCGAATGAGAAACGACATGATCACAAGAATTGTTGGAACAACATCCATCATGAAATTTATTGAGAAACAAAGAATGAGATGGTTTTACCATCTAATGAGAATGAAACCAACAATGCCATCAGCAGGAGCGTACAATCAGAACATCCAAACACCTAGAGGCAGGAAAAGACCGAAAAAAATTTGGATTGAATGAGTCACTGACACACTGAGATTGAATAACCTCACGGCATATCAAGCGACTGAGGGGCCCTGGCTGGGCTGCCGATCTTCTGATAAACTGCGACGCCTAGCGACATAAGCAGATATTGACAAAGGAAAGAAAGAAGAATATGGATAATGGAAGACTTTGGGATATATTTGCTGTTGTATATATTATATAATAGGAGACTGTGTGACAAATCTAGCAGTTTAAATAATAGATAATGGGAGACTGTAAAATATCTAGCAGTGTAAATAATAGATAATGGGAGAATGTGTGACATCTATTTCCTCTCAGTTTTCAAGGGTTTTTGACCGTCCCGTGACATCAGTTATATCACGTGGAATGATTACAAAGATTTGAACCCAGCACTGGTTTAGATGGCAGCGCCATGATGGGGTAGGTTAGTAGTATCCTGTGAGTAACAGATTAATCGGAAGTTAAGGTGGTGTGGCGGCTAGACGTTTGCGTCCTGTTAGAAGGTCTTGGTTTCGATTCCGCTTGACATTTTATTTTCTTTAAAAAAAGTTTGTCTCCCAGGTCGACTCAGCCTAACATGGGTACCAGGTGACGTCTTGGGGAAAAAGGCGGTCGGTGAAACGTTGACCACATTAGCCACCAAGTGCCAATTGGTCTACAGA